ATATATATATATAATATATTTGAAAACACAGAAAGCACAATTTCTGAGTTCTCAACTGAGAGTACTGTTAATAATTTGCTTCTGGGCAAGTGAATAACTATTATTTAATAATGAAAAGAACTACTTATAAAGGCAGGGGGGAGTGGGAAGAAGAAGAAGAAGAAGAAGAATCTCTTCTGGGACTAGCTAAACATGGAATAGTGATTTGTGCCCTCCTGGGGTTGGGGGTTGGAATGGAGATCCAGAAACATGGCTAATACCAAATATATACATTTATATTTGAAAACACATAAAACACAATTCATGACACCTCAATTGATAGTACTGTTAATAATTTCTTTCTGGGCAAGTGAATAGCTATTATTAATCTAATAATGAAAATAACTACTTAGAAGAGTTCAAAACCCCACCTTGTCAATAAAGGAGGCAAATTTGTTATTGAGATTCTTGATCTGTTCTCTCTCTTCTTTACGCACTCTCTCAATTTCTGGATCAATTTCCAGGTTGAGCGGGGCCAGGAGGGTCTGGTTAATGATCACTTCCTGGATACCACCTGGTGGGTAGGAAGGAACGCCAGGGCCATATCTTCCATTGCCAAAGTTGCCATTGGCCCACACACCTCCAGCAAATCCTCCAAAATACAGCCCGGCACTGCCACCAAATACACCTCCACGTCGGGCACTTCCTGGAACCACACTCTGGGAAATTCTTTTCGTCCCCCCAAGATTGTAGAGGCTTCGGCTGCGAAAGCCACCGCTTCCACTTCCTCCTCCTGCTGGGCTCCTTCGACTTGGCATGGACACATTGCTCCGGCCCCCTCCATAAACAACAGCAGAGCGAGCACTAAAGCCCCTCCCTCCGCCAAAAGCTTTTGCGTTCAGCTGTCGACTCATTGTAGTGTGGTGAGATGTTGCCCACCTGGAGAGAGACAGAGGATCTAACACCCAAATGACGATCTCTTCATTTATATGGCTTTCACAAACTAGACTGGGTTGGACGAAGGAAACGAAAGACATTCCAACTATGCATTGGGCTTGGTTAGTGCGGCACCAGCCCATCCTTTATGGAACCCACGAAATTATGTGTTCGCACCTCATAAGTCCAACATAGGGGGAGAATGACTTTCGTTGGGATTAATGTAACAATTGTTCCTACCTAGCCCCTTGCAAATATTTTAACATCAAGAATCTACCCTATATAATTAGCAGACTCACATTTATCTCCAGAAACTTGTATTTCATCATAGTTGCCAGTCATGACTGACACAGGTATTAAACTGTCTGCTATATACGGTCGGCAAAGCTTTGAATGTTCCTTCTCATTTCTGTTTTATTTTGGTTTATTTTTATTGTTTTCTGCAGTCAGGTAGATCTGCCCAAGTCTGACAGCTGCTTTATGGCACTGATAGACCAATCGTGATATACTTTGTCCTCTTCTTTCTCCCTTAGACAGCAAAAAAAGAAATGTGGATTTTCCAAGGGCAGAGACAGATGCTATTGATCACTTGTAATTAGAGCGCCAGTCACATTACTGTCAGAGAGATATGACAGTCTTTCGTGGTTCAGAAACCAGATGTCAAAGGAGAAAGGCGCTTCTGACAGATGAACACTAAAGCTCTCAGGCTGGTGAGAGATTCTTTTGTTGTGCCAATCCACGATCAGCCTTTGAGGATTTTCTTCTTCTGTGTATAACACCTAGAAGAAAGCCAACAGGAAAGCCTCTGAAACATGGCTTTGGAGGAGAGCTTTACAGAAAGATGACCAAGTGGGTTCCTGAGCAAATGAATCCTGAGTTTTCCCTAGAGGCAAAAATGGCTACATTACTTTGGGCACAGCATGAGAAGATGAGATCCATTGGGAAAAGGGCAATAGTCGTGGGGAATGTTGACCACAAGACAAAAAGAAGGAAACTAAATCAGAGGTGGGCTGACGTGATAAAAGAAGCAAGAACCCTTGACAAAAGGAAGCTTTGGAGGTCACTGATTCATAGCATTATCTTAACTCGGAACCAAGTTTGTGGCCCATAACAGCAACATCTACAACATTTGCCTGAAACAATGATTTTTAAATTTGTTTTACAGTTCTAATCACCGACCAAACACCAGGATTAATATCTTGTTGGCTACACACAGAGTAAAAAGGAAATCGTGTGAACATCCCCCTTGTTCCAGCAGGCGTTTTTCTCATATGCTTATTTTTGCTATGGTTGTAAGATCGGTCACACAACTGGTCACACAAGGGGGAGCCTACCATAGCTATAGGGGTGGGGTGGGGGCAGGATTTAGATATATACAATTTCCCCTCCGCTCCATGTTTAGGCAATAGAATACTGGTCTATGTTTTTACACCAACACAATAAAGCAATTTTCAGGGGTTTAAGCGTTCAGGAAGTAAATAAATAACAGTGCATAAATCTTTATGCCCATAGAACCCTTTCATGCAGTTTCTAAACATGTGGCAATAAGTGGGGTGCCAGTCACTTGCCTGTTGTTTATCAGCTGTATTATCATTGTCAATATCCTTATACTGTCATTTGAGATTGGGGGCTTCAGCTGTCACAGCCCCCCCCAAGACCTTCATGTGTAAGGATGAAGGAATGGAGGGTGTCTGTTTCCCCATATGAAGTGTGTCTTTGCAGTGTCCTATAGGAGAAGATTTTCAGAATCAACGAAGCACATAGTGCCTCCACCTGCATCCGACTGAGCACATGTAGGCATGGCCCTCAGCCCAGAGGAGCATTAACCTTTATTGCAAGGAATGTTAAAGAATGCCACTCCCATGTGAGCCCACATATTTTCTCTCTCTTTCTTCCTCCCTTGCTAATTTTAGTCCCTCGTTTTTACTCACTTGTGTGTCATCTATAATAACCTGCAAGCAAGGCAGTGAAAAACATTCCCATTAACATGCAATGGGGAAAAGGTAGACATAAATATTGGCTTCAGACAGATATAGACTAATTATTTAAAGCTGGCTTACCTGTCTTTTCATCTAAAGGAGAATACAGACCCCATGGCTGAGATCCTGTTGCGCCACCTGTGCTTGCACATGGATGATGACGTCAATGCCAGGAAGGAGTTTTCTGTAATTAGCATCTTCTCCCTTCCATCTGGCAGTCCCCATGACTTCTGTGCAATGAAAGGGATTAACATGTCAGTCAGAGAAGCTGCAGGATAGAAGAAGTGTCTAATTACCAAAAAAAAAATAAAAAAAATAATACCGGGATTATCCAAGGTTGGAAATCACTGCAAAGGGGACGGAATTTGCTGGGCTTGGGGGAAACAGCTACCTTGCTGTGGAATTTCTTAAGCGGAGGAGTCTGCTTTGTGTATTGTTTTTGTTTCATTGTGTTTTATCGAAGGCTGTCTTGTCATCTCCAAAAGGAAGAGCCCAATCCTCCTAACATAAATATGTGACTCAGGTGGGGTTGAAGTGAGTTTCTGGTACTGCATGAGCTCTTCTGTCAAGCATTAATTGTCTACCACAGAGAAAGGCTGATTTTCCAATACTCATCTTCCTCATCATCTTGGCCCTCTGGTGGGCCTCAGTTGTGATCTGGTGAACTTCGGTATAGCTTTGCACTACCACTTAAGATGGTGAAGCATGTTGCTGGTGCCCAGGTAGTTCAAGCCCTTTCTTCCGTGTATAGGGTGTCTGAAGTGTGTGCAAATGGCTGCTCTAGGAACTAGCTCAGGGGTTGCTATGCCATGCTGTTTCTTTTGGACAGATAACTATGATGTCCTGACTTGCTTCTCTAGGGTCACAGCTGAACCTATAGTATATTGCATGGATGATAACAAAGAGGCATCCATTGGGCTCATCTTGCAGTCCCTGACCTATGCCATAGGATGGTCCAGCACCACTTTTCACACTTTTCTGATGTGTTTTTAAAGTGTTTTAAATATTTCATCAGTGATCTTTTAAATATTATTACAGTGCTGCCTCGACTTATGAACGTCCCTACTTACAAACATTTCGACTCACGAACAGCTCCATTCACAAAATTTTGCTTTGACTTGCGAACGGAGCTTTGACTTACAAACAAAAAAAAACTGCAGGGAAGGTGGGGAAAGCGTGAAATTTGAACTTTCTGTTAACCGTTGGCCAGCAAAGAGGCTATTTGTCTGCTATCTCACTCACCCTAGCAGTTAGAGAGTGTGGATACTGACAGAGACTTCAGACTGCCTACTGCCTGGTACTGCCTTGTACTGTACTGTACAGACTGCGGGGTTTTGTTTTTTTTTTTGCTTTTTTATTTTTGAATGTGTTACTTTCTTTTTTAAAACAGAGAGACTGCCTATTCTGGGTGAGTACACTGTATTTACTGTACAGGGGTTTTACAGGTTGGGTTTGGACTAGGTTGGGGGGTTATGTTCCTGTGCTCTGATGGGTCTTGCAGATCCTTTCTCTTTTTGTGCTAAGTCTGTTTGCTGGAATAATGGTTGCTGGATTCTGTGGGTCCTAGGGTTTGTGTACTGTGGCATTTTAGTCTTTTGGGTTTAAAATCAGAAAACATTTTGCAACGGTCTGTGCTAGCTGCTGGGCTCTAAAATGGAGTTTAGACTCAAGTCTCTTCCCCCCCCCCAATTGTCTTTTCTCTCTCTGTCTTCTTTCTTTTAAAAGCACAAATCTTTGTCTGAGGGATCTGTCTGCCCCAGTGATGACCTTCTTTCTTTCCTCTTTTCCCCATTGTTCCCTGCCTCCTTTCTTGCCCTTTTTTTAAACCTAAGTTCATCTTAGGTTAAAAAAATTTCGCCCCTTAGTGGTAGAGGACAGATTAACTGGCTTTGCACTAGTTTTATGGGAACGAATACTTTGACTTAAGAATGGTGCCTCGACATAAGAACAAAAAAGAGCCAGAACGGATTAATCAGTTTTCAATGCATTCCTATGGGAAATGCTGATTCGACTTACGAACGTTTCAACTTAGGAACACCATTCCGATATGAAATAAGTTTGTAAGCCGAAGCACCACTTTGCTTAATTGCCTTTTAGTATAATAACTTTTTGGGCTTGTTGTTGCATGTTTTTTCACCATTTTATAAGCCATTTTAGGTTCCCTCTTATGAAAAAGGCAGGATATAAATGACATATGTAAACAAATAAATCAATACCAGAGAACATAGTAGATCATAAATTCCTTGCAATTCCAAGTAACATGCATAGTATTTCATGAGGATTTCAAAAGTTTTTGGAAGTTAGTTTGACAAAACAGTGTGTATCAGTATCCCCCCCCCCAATTTTTTAAATCTTCCAAATAATTGCTGCTCATCCCATATAATCCTCCCAGGCGTTGTTATCAGCTGCTATGCTGAGAGAGTTAAAAAGGGAACTAGGAACTGTGGCTGCTTGGTAGTGGCCTTTTCACTTTGGAATGGTCTCCCATTGGAGATTTGACAGGTCCCCTCCCTCCAGACTTTTAAGAAGCTGGTAAAAACTAGACTGTTCAAAGAAGCCTTTAAAGGTGTCCTTTCATTTCAGTAGGTTGGATCCATGGCTTAGTGTTTGTTTTAGGGGATACACACCATCTCTTAGTTGCTAGTTTGGGTTTGTTGAACCTTATGTTTTGGTTTGTGTTTTGATATTGGCTTTGAGGGATGAGGGTGGTTATGATGAGTTTATTCTTTGTATAACTGCCCAGAGGAGTGGATTCTCACTAAGTGGGGAGGTATAAAAGTGAAATAATGAATGAATGAATGAATGAATGAACGAATGAATGAATGAAATAATGAATGAATGAATGAATGAATGAATGAATGAATGAATGAAGGAAGGAAGGAAGGAAGGAAGGAAGGAAGGAAGGAAGGAAGGAAGGAAGGAAGGAAGGAAGGAAGGAAGGAAGGAAGGAATAACCTCATGTAACAAGAACTGTGCGCATAAAATAAGAAATCAACACCACATCTGACTTTCACTGCAGTTTATTGAAAATGGTCACCTCCCAAGGAAATGAGAATCAAACCATGAAAATAAAGATAGGTGCATTGTGATCCACAAAACTGGCACAAGAGTGGATGTTTTTCACAGTATTATTTCTATGATGACATGGCTTTCTAAATGATGTAGATAAGATTAATGGTCCTTCTACCGTACCATGTTAGTAGTATGATGGTAATTTTTTTTAATGGCTTTAATTAAGAAAGATGTTCTGTTTGTCTATATAATTCTAGCCAGGCAGGAATGATGTTAACTCAGCCATACAGGTTTGGACCTCTTCAGCATAAGCATAGACATATACGGTGAAAACCAGTGATGTTTTCTATGAATCAGGGAACAACACCTAAAGAGAACACTCCATTAGAAGCAGAAGCCTCAAGAAAGAGAAGGAAAGGTCATTTTTCATACATATTGCCATGTGGCAGCCACCAGAAGAGCCAAAAAATATACAGCAGACTGAATGGAACACAGCCCATATTTATGATCTACTGATCTCCCCTTCCCATTTCAGACAACTCTCAGCTAAATGATATTATAACACACAATACCATCAACACGTTCATGATCATTCTCTACTGGTCTGTTCCACCATTTGCTATTTAAGCCATAAATGAAAGATGTCCATCTTGTTGCGGATTTTCTTTGGGGAGCAGAATAGATAAGAGATCATTTGCTTTAAAGGGCACAGTTTGTTCTTTTCTGGATTACCAGGATGGGCCTGAAGGTTTCGTGCTGTTCTCACTATAGACGCTGAAAGGTGTTTCTTGCCTTTTGGAGACCTTTTAGGGACCCTTAATTCCTTCCGCCTTTGATGGATGAGCTGGATGTGGTGGTTCTCCTGATGATTGTGCTGGAGCTGCCGCCAGAACCGTATCCACCTCCTCCATAGCACGAGCCTCCTGAGCCTCCTCCAGAGATAACTCCTCCATAGCCGCCACCAAGGCCACCACTGCCAAGGCCACCAAGGCCCCCGCCGATTCCACTGCCACCACCCAGGCCGCCGCCGATTCCGCTGCCAAGGCCACCGCCGATTCCGCTGCCAAGGCCACCGCCCATTCCGCTGCCAAGGCCACCGCCCATTCCACCACCACCAATGCCGATGCCTCCACCGCCGATTCCACCGCCGATTCCACCCATTCCTCCACCCATGCCTCCGCCGATGCCGCCGATTCCACCATAACCACCACTGCTTCTCACAGCTGCAAAAAAGAAGAAGCACAAGTTCAGTCCATCCCATTCTCATGACTTAAAAGTGACTTTTGAAATTCATTAAAGTGGAGGCAGAAACTACTTACAGACATGGACTTGGGATCCAAGGCCAGATAACCTGTTTTGAAGCAAGGGAACATGGATTATTCCCTGAAATGGACATGTCATGTCCCACTAAGGACATGGTCACTCACAAGTCACAGCAATAGCTCTAGATGACATCCTTTCCTCATCAAATGTTTATGAAACCACAAAACTGTGAGTTTTGTGAGTTTTGTGGTTCATAAACATTCAAGAGGTCAAAAAGTCATCTACAACTCCACATTGTAAATCTGGTCCCTCCAGCTGCTAATCCTGACCCCCCCCCTCCATTCAGATCAGCCCACACAGTCAAAATCAATGGGATACAGTCAGAGAAGATTGCACTGTGGTTAAGTCTCTAAAGAAGGCAAGGAATGCATAGAGCACAAGGGAAGGCCTAGCATTTCTCAAAGAAATCTAGAACCAAATTTACTCTAATTTTGGATGTTAAACATTTGGAGGACATTCTTTTCAATATTCTCTTATTTGCTGGATCTCATTTTCCACCACACCTGATATCCAATAGTATTTCAAAGCAACTTGGTCTAGTTAAAACCAGCCTACAAAGGAAAAATGAAAACACAGATCCTTATGTGAGAGGTATAAAAAGACACACCTGGACTCTTCTCCTTCCAACATTTTCCTGTACATGGCGATCTCAATGTCCAGAGCAACCTTGACATTCAACAGGTCTTGGTACTGTTTGAGGAGGTTAGCCAACTCCTCCTTGTCCTTCATCAGGGCATTTTCCAGTTCTTCCAATTTCTGCTTAGCATCCCGGAGGGCCATCTCCCCACGCTCTTCCGCTTCAGCAATAGCCGACTGCAGCTGAGCACACTGCAAGAGGCAAGGGAGGGGTGGGTGGGTAGGGAGATAAGGGGCATCAGTTTTTTTTTAAAAAAGCATCCTTCTTTTCTTCCATGGGCATCATTGCACCAGGTTCAAGTGTGGGCTTTTCTGAGCTTGCTTACCATAGTCCCCCAGCCTTGCTAGATCTCCGGGACATTGAACAGGTTCCCTAGGGTGAACATTTTGTACTGGGGTACAAAATCTTTTGAGACATTGTGTGTCTTTCCTGGGCTGACACCCTTCCAGAGGGGTGGTAATATAGTCTACATTATCTCCAGACAAGCATGTTGGGCCATAGTGACTGTACTCCAGCACATCTAGAAAGGCATTTGCCTGGGGAAACCTGTACTTGGTGAACACTTGACAGAGTTTCACCAAGAGTGAAATATTCCATCAAGCCTTCATCTGAGCCAGAGTTCACCAGGAAATATCCCTCCCTGCTCTCACCATCTCAGATAATCACAAAACTGCATATCTTTGCATATCTGCAAAGAGTGACTTACACTCTGGCTGCACTTTGGTATTAATCCCATGTTTCAAGACCGAACCCTGATATGGCCTCCATTTGGTGGGGCTGATGGAAGTTCAAAGTCTAATGTAGCTGGTAGGCCCTGGGTTCCTTGTTCCTTACTCAACAGACCAGCAATCCTCCACATTCAGGCTTTAAGGAGCACAGGAAACATGGAGTCAAAACACCTTTGGATGAGACCGCTTGTCCCTCTAGTCCATGACTAGCCATGTCTCTCTCCTTATTTTTACAGGGGTCTTTTCCAGGTCCACCTGAAGAGATACAAGGGGTTGAATTTGGGACCCAGGGTGTGCCAAGCAGGTGCTCCTTCCAGCACACCTCAGCCTTTCCTTGAGCTCTTCGTTTAAAGGCTCAAAGGATTCCACCCTGAAACCTCCCATGCTCAAGTTGCAACACAGCGTCCATCAAACCACCCAGGCTTCTTAGTGAAATGAAATTTCAAACAGTATCACGCCTGAATTTACATGCAAGCCATGCAATTCGTCATGTGTGCAAGAGTCCCAGCTTGCTATGTTGCAACAGTGAGACCAAGCATTTTCTTTTCCTAATGCACTGCAAAGTGCTGAGAGACTGAAAAGGCTGTTGAGAAGCAGACAAGCTAGCTTTAGCAGCTTCCCAAGACCAATTAATGGCACTGCTGAGGGGGCTGTTTGTTCCAAAATCCAATGGTTCCCCCCAAAAATCCTCAGCTCACCTCTCCTCAATTTGATACCCTCCAAATTTGCCAGCTTTCACCTCCTCTAGCCAGCAGGTTAGGGAAGGCTGCCTTAAATAAAATGAAATAATTTTAAAGGAAGTTGTTCAGATGTCTGGAGTCAGACTTTCCATGAGGTCATACCTGCTTCTTGGCATGCTCAATTTCACCGCGCAGTCTCTGGATGTTCCTGGTCAGTTCTTGTATCTCTTGCCTGGTCGTGTTCAGGTTCTGTCCGTGTCTCCCTGCTGTGTTCTGCAGAGCTTCATACTGTTAGGCAGCAGAAACCATATGTTAAAAAAAATAAAATGGCCTAAAAAGAAAGCATCCAGAAGTCCTTCTGATGGCATCACATTAATACATAGTCCACAACGGAAACGGTCAAGATCTCAGAACATAATGTAGTTCACATATTTCACAAAGCCACATTTTGTCACGTCACTTAGCTTTCCTCCAAAGAATGGCTTGAGTTTTTAGCTGGAGTTGGTACCAGAATGTCCCCTGCACAAGCAACAATTCCTATTCCTTTAGAATAAAAATCTTCATTAACCCAGTCTAAACCTGTACCAGACTTGGTTGTGTGTTGCAGGCAAATTTTTTTAATACTACCACCACCACATAGCAACATCAGTCAAGGATAGTTTAAGATAAATCAGCTTTTATGGATTCCTTCCTCCAAAAAGCCACATTTTTAGTATGACCCTGAGGCCTTTGAACAGTGCCTGCAAGAGTAGCTTGCAATGACAACATTGGGGGAAATAACTGGTCTAAAGAATTGAGACTGAAGGTGTGGTTGAGAAAGGGTAGGGTCTTAAAAGATTCTCCATGACTGATTAAACACACTAGTGCCTGAGCTATGTGGCTGCTTTACTTGTAAGGCTGGAAATGGCAAGCTCAGCTTCAACTATTGATTTGGCCACCCACTAAGGCTTTCTCTACAGCACCAGATTCTAACAGTCAGATAGCTCCATGGTTGAGGTGTGTGACTGCAGAGCCAGAGGCTGGGAATTCAATTCCCCCCTCCTTTTTGACAGGAGCCAGACCCAGTGGGCCCCTCAGTTCTAAGAGGGTGATTATTATCAGTGTTTGAACTGCCCTGACCTTGCTTAAAGAAACTTGGGAATTCTGAGCTTTTTGGGTGAAAGAGCTAAGAATTCACTGTCAAGAGACTTGAAGTGACATTTCTCCTCTTCCAGAATTACCATCTGGGGTATCTATTGAGTATGATTGGTTAATCTGTTTGGATGTAGCAAGGACGTGCCCTCAAATCCTTTGCAGGAAATACAGCTCTTTGAATGAGTGACGACTGAGAAGCTCTAAGCCTCATCTTCTTTCGATCATCCTTACAGTACAGAGGGAAAAGCAGCTCAGGAACTCCACACATCAGGGTTTGTTTTTCCTCTTTTCATCTCTGCATGACGACCTACCTGGCTTTGATACCAAGCTTCAGCCTCAGCTCGGCTACTGCGGGCAATCGTCTCATATTCATTTCTCACTTCATCCAGAATTGATTCCAAGTCGAAGTGGGTATTGTCATCCATGTTCACTACCACTGAGGTGTCTTGACCACCTGTTTCAACCTGAGACAACTCCTGTAAGGAACCAAAAAAGCAATCAGTTGTGTGATTGTGGTCTGCCTCCCGTCTGCCATTTCCCTCTCAGTCTACAGTTCACCAGAACATAACATCTTGATCTCTGCTGGACTAATTCTGTTTGAGTAAGACATTGAATTTATTTTTGAGTTGTTATACAGTATCTATTAAAGCTCAGAACACCCTGCCTACACCTGTAAATGTCACCCTCTCAGTACATCTTGTATGTAATTTTTTTTTCATAAAGAACTATAACAGATGTGGAGGTCCACATTTTTTAACCTAAAGATCATCTTGAAAAGTTTGAGGAAAAAGCAGATTGCATTTTTGTAACAAAAAGCCTGTGTAGCAAAAACTAAAATGAAGAATTTTTGACACATTGACTCTAGGACAGAGTTTGGTCCCTGATGCTTATTTTAATGAAAAGACAAGTCTCTAGACCTCAGGAAGGAAGGAAAAAAATTAAAAACCAGTATGCAGTCATCCTGACCTAATCATTTGTTACATCCCAAATACAGTAGGAAGACTGCATTCCAAAAACCAGCTGGATTAGATGGCAGGCAGGGAACTACAGTGTGGAAAAGGCAACTGCAAAAATTAAATATGTCCAGAGTTTTCAGTAGGGAGACTCAGGAGCACATCTTCCATGTTCTACACAGGTCAAAGTGTCTCCATAGAGCTTAGGCCTTCTCTTGATGCCTCAGCAACTACAACCCCTCTTTCTCTGAATTTTTGCCTTCCCCCGTACTCTGTGGACTGATGCATCTCAGTCCACTGAATATGGGTGCCGTTGTGTGTTTTAAGGACAGAATGTGGGTTACTTCAAAGCCACATGTTGTACTGAAGTTCTGAAATATGGTTGTTGGGGGGGGTAGGGGAAGAAGCCACATCCCTCATCACTCCCTTCCTTACAAGGTTAAAGATACGTCTCAGGAAGGTGATCTCTTCAGCTATAGCACCAACTTTAGCTTCCAAGTCAACCTTGGTCATGTAGGCACCATCCACATCCTGGAAGAAAGATTTAAAAAAAATACAAAGGTAAGTTTTGACTGTAATGTCCACAAAAACACTGTGGAAAGTCCATGGATAGGACATTCCATCTTGTCCTTGGGGCTGTTCTGACATTTGTACTTACTGTTCTTAGCTTTTAAATATTGCCTTTATAATGATGTAAGCTACCTCCAGGTTTTTTTTTAAGGAGAAACATGGGGTGAAAATATTTTAAATAAACAAATAATTATGCAACAAGACTCATCTTAAGAACCTGCTCCCTAGTATTAACCCAGGGAACACATTAAGACATAATGTGCCTTTTGAGAGTCCATTTCAATGTGTAGAGGTTGATATTTTCCCGCTTTCTACGTAAAGAATACTCACTCACCCATCAAGGCTGAGACTGGAAAAAGAAACCTGAAGGTCAGCTTTCTAGGACTGCCAGGATGGCTAAGATTGTTTTGAACTTCCTGGTGCTTTCCATTCTAAAAAATGAAGCCATGGACGTCACACCAGGAAGCAGGAAGCTCTTGTACAGGAGGAGTACTTTAACAGAAGGAGCTATCCTCAAAAGGGGTTCTATACATTTTTCACCCTTGTGAATGGAACTCCTAAAATTCCTCTGCCACACTTTACACTTTCTCATGCAGGCTACGACTACAGTTCCAGCGTGACTTACAAATGTGTTGAGTTTCTCTTGCTAGGATCAAGTGCCCTCCCATTGATGCCGGCAGGCACACAAGGGTCCCCTATGAGTTCCAAACACAGGAGGAATCCACCCTAACCCAACCCATGTATCTCCCTGAGTCATCTGCATGGTATGTGTGGAGAAGGAGGTGCATAGCTCGATGTTTCCTCTAGTCACCTAATTTTCCATGCAGAAAGGAAAATGTTGACGTGGACCATATTTAGACAAAGATTCCAAACATGGTTTCTGAAGAATTATAATCCTATAATAGATTCATATGGTACATTTTCAGTCAATTCTAAGTTAGGGATCTTAATCCCAGTTATGTAGCTATTCCTTTTGATAGATCTGGAGAGGAAAATAGGGACATTTGAAGCCATTCTTGAAAGTCCCAAAACATTTCAATGCCTGATTCCATTCAACCACTTGATCAAGCCTTCTCTAGTTATAGTGTGGTGCCAAATTCCAGTTCTCACCTTTTTCAACACCACAAATTCATTTTCTGCTGTTGTGCGCTTATTGATCTCGTCTTCATACCTTTTCAAGGAAAAAATAAAGATCCATTGAATCCATGTCTGTGCCTACTATTTCACACACACACACACAAGCATGCACACACCCAGTATGCACACATTAGAATGCAAGAAGCAAGTGTATTGCAGGAGCCCAATAGTGTAGTGGTTAAATTGCAGTACTGCAGCCAAGACACTGCTCACGACAGGCTCAGATAGCCAGCTCAGGATTGATTCAGCTCTCAGTTTTTCTGAGGTTGTTAAACTGAGTACCCAGCTCGGGGGCAGGGGCGGTGCTTAATTGTGTTGTAATCTGCTCCGAGACTGCTTTAAGCACTATGATGCATTATACGGGCAGCACACTTTGCTTTCTTTTTTTCTTTATAGGATGACAAGAAGAATATATATAATGGTGTGTCACCAAATCAATTCAGACTTATAGTAACCTTTTTCAGGGTTTCCTAGGTAAAGAATGCTTAGAAGTAGTTTACTATTCCCTTCTTCTTCTAGGGCCACCCTGGGAATCTACAGCTTGCCCAAGGCTACACAGGTTGGCTCTACTCCCAGGAGGCCCAGTGGTGAATCAAACTCCCAACCTCTGGCTCCGTAGCCAGGTGCCCAACTTACAGGGCTAGCCAGCCATCCCAAGAAGAACACAGTGGCATTGAAATAAACCACAAACACTGACCATTACCAAATTGCCCAGAGAAGCACTAGAATGTGAAGAAGGGCACCCTGTTTATTTTTCTGTCCTGTTGAGGTTTCCCTCCCTTTCCTTCCTTTGCTCCCCACCTGTTCTTGAAATCTTCCACAAGCCTCTGCATGTTCTGAAGTTCTGACACAAGCTGCCCCTTTTGGCTGCGGATTTGCTCGATTTGGTTTCTCAGGCCATTTATGAAAAGCTGAAATTCGCCATCCAGATTCTGCCTTGGGCCTCGTCCTTGAGTGCGTTGCTGCAAGATTTGCCATTTGGTTTGCAGAACCTTGTTTTGTTGCTCGAGAAACCGGACCTGAAATCAAGAAACAGAGGCACAAGCCATTAGATAGGCCCCACCTCATCGCCCATTGAGATGATACTGGACATCATTAGCAGCAAGCATAGCTTTTAGACAGAGAACTGAATTGCATGTGGAGGTCAATGGGGCGACAGCCATGTCCCTTTCCCTCATTTATTACTTTATTTATGTTTACCTTGGATGGAAAACTGTAGAATTTGGAAAGCTGATAAGTTTATGGGTAGTCGTTCAGGGATACATGGACACCTTCCCTCTGAGAATTTCAATGCACTCAAACTTTCAATTTGCTTTGACTTTCAATTAAAATCACCAGAAGATTCAGGGGGACCCTTCACATTTCCTTAAACTACCACTGAAGTGAGACTTATAAACGCCTGCTCACGTGATCACCTGAGGTGACTAAGAATTTCCTCTAAGAAACTTAGCAGGGAAACTGTGTAGCCACTGTTGTTGAGAGAGAGAGAGAGAGAGAGAGAGAGAGAGGGAGGGAGGGAGGGGAGGAGCTTCCATGACCAATGTAGGCATTCCTGGTCAGATTGGCTCTATGTTTGTGTGTGTCCACGAGAGAGCAAAAGGAGGAGGAGAAAGAGAGGGGGAGCAAATCTCAAGTTTTGGCCCTGAAACTCAGCATTTGGAGTTCACAGGCCTCGTCCTTGAAAGCACTGGGAATTGAGCATTCCTAATCTGTTTGGCATATTGCAGATCACTGAGAAATCTACATAGATCCAGATTTCATCTTGTCCTGACTTTAGATTAGAACACAGTATTCTTTTTATGTATTATACTCTTCATTTTCCAAATCTGTCCCAACAGGCTCTAGGACCTAGGCCCTTGACAGTACTACTGCAAATTCTCCACACTATCTCCCCACCTCTCTCACACACACCACATCATTTTGGAATCAGTGCTGCAGAGTCTGTCCTTTGTTGCTGGCATCATTAGGACACTCCACAAGGTCTCCATTTTTTAAATGCAGCCTCATGGAGTGAGATGTTGTTAACTTGGCTGATGACCGTTTGTGTGCGAGAGAGGTGTTAGCCATGTTTGTGGCCTTTGGAGAAGACCCAGAGAACAATGGGAGAGCCCATGTTTTCCCTCTACACACTCTTAGTGTCAGTCCTGGGCAACTCTAGTTAAAGGACCTCAGCAGAGAATGGCTGGTAAAGGTCCATGAGTAGCTGAGGCCAATGAAGGCAGGCCAACTTTCTTCCATCAACCCTGAATATTAGCTACCGTGCCTGGAGTTGCTGACAGTTCAGTGGAGCTGGTCACTTAGATTTCATGGGATGGTGATTCCACACTGGGTTTTTGTCTGAACTTCCCGGGAGCTATCCAGAGTGCTGAACTTTATTCCCAGAAGAGGTTCAGCACTTTAGAGAGCTCCTTTAAAGTGTGAGCTAAAGTCTACAGCAAATCTGCTGCCCGAATGCATATGGAGTCACTTGCTAGGGGTGCTTTGGCAACAGCTCATAAACACAGCCCAAACATTGCCCGTCACGCCAAAATGTTTCCAACACTCTTTAAAATCACAGCTGATGTTTCAAAAGTGAAGCTGCCTCCCTCCCCCAATTCCTTCTGAAAGCTACAGGAGGCAAAGTGAAAATGGAAATAGCCCTTTTAATTAATAGACATTTTCACCCAGAAATTGTTTTAGATTTCAATCTTTAAAGCATTCCACCCAGGGCAATTCTGTATGGGTTTTGAATTGCATAATTCATCTGTACCTATTTCCCTTTTTGGAAAAAAAACTTTTCAGCCTTTGTAAAATGCTTTTTAAAATTATTTTTCAAAAATGCAACAGATTCAGGTATAGAAATATATTCATGCATCCGTAACCGTTAATTACATTTATGTTAACAAAGTCCAATTATGCTTCTTCTAAAATCGGTTTTATCTTGTGTTCTTTGTTTGGTTTTTTTTGTTTTTGTTTTGTATTTAAACAACACCTGTTGATTTTCTTGGCCCACTCTGAGGATTTACCTAGAAATGCAAATTGCTTTTAACGGTTTGTTCCTTCCCTTTTTCCTTTCAGCTACCTGCCTCTTCCAAACATTGAGACATCCTGTTGCAAAAATATTGGATGATTTTGACAGATTTTAAATGTTAACAAGGAGACTTTTATC